AATGCCGAGAAGCTGTCTCCGAAACGGACGCTAAATTTCCACCCTTCCGTATATGCTTCAGTCAAACATATCAAAATTTCATGCGATTTGCTCCACTGGGAAAAAAGTGACGGCGAGTTAAAGTTGGCCGAGTACTTTTGAGCGCTACCGTATATTATTTCTCTGTGTCATGTTGAAGTCCACGGTGTTCATCATAGTTCTGGTTCTCATCCTCTTCATAACGGTCTTCATAGGACCAGTCACTCCTGGCGAACATTTGTTTAATTTCGGAACGACTGAAGATGATTGTTTTGTCTCCGGTTATGGAGAAGCAGCATGTACGTGTACGTTTCGCACAGATTTTCAGGCTTTTTATTGATGTTGAAAACTCGCAGGCATCTAATGCATCTCTGGCACCTCTCCGATGAATTTTTCTTGACGTTTAACGTAAAGTCAAAGTCATATAATGAATGTGTATAACCACAGTGCCTTTAACAGATTCGTCAAGCGCAAGTAAAAGCAGAAATAAGGGTTTCACTTTAAAAAATGTCATAAAAGGTTTTAAAACCCCTGATGCAACGAAAGAATACTGTCCAAAGATTTCGACACTCGTGAAGCAAGACCACTATTACTACGCCACGTCGACGCTTGTTATTGAAGCGGCGAGACATTATGACCCTAATGCGAAGCGAACTTCGAGAGCCCATATCTTGTCTACGGAAGCCATTTTGCACTTTCAGTTTTCACTTTCGCATAAAGCATTCAAAACTCTACTGATTCATCTTCTATATGAATCTTCGTTCGGAGTTAAATTACCTCTCCTTGATCAGTGGTTAAACAGTGTCGCGGTGGGCAGAGTAGCCGAAACACAGAAGTGAACCCCTTGGTCGGGGTTAGTGCACCATGAAAAATGATATAGAGACGTTCCCGTAGCTCGTTTCAAACTTGAACGCAGTGCCACAAACGATTACTGACGATGTTGGAAGAACCAAGAAGTCGTATCCTTACAAGTGGGTGTTCTGAACAAGGGTAAGTGGAACGTCCATTCCTCCTCTTCCTTATTGCGTTGTCACGTATGTATGTTGGCTCGGTAAGGGGACGTGCGATTCACGCATAACGCCATCATAGCTCTTCGCGCACGCAGCACGCGACACATCACGCAGCAGGTTACGTGCGTGCGATCGCTTGGACCAAGTGACATTTGCACTAATCCATGGCTCCACCATGAAGTAGTGCAAATCTCTTTAACTTGGCCATGGGGCTCCTTCGAGATTAAGAATTTACTTCATAGATCAACTCTTTACTTGTCAAACGTTCAAAATAAGAGTAACTTTGAAATGTGTTGATCCTGATGAACGCAATCCTTCTGTAAACGTGCATAGTCGATAGCTCTTTTCTTGCCTTTTGTAACCCCATCATTAAAAAGGAAATATGTTCCGACAAGTATATGAATATTGTATATTTTCTGTCCAGCATATGATGGTCCAGTGGATGACATACTAGTTATGCAGTACAGCAAATAATAGCAACAAACAGAATAAATAGCAGAACAGAACAAGTGCAGGAGTTCGAGGTGAGGACGATGAAAAAAGATGTTGATACTATCGATTCGTGGGTAGCCTCTTTATACCCCTCCGGCCATAGACTAATAAGCATCATTCCCGCCAGATCACCCACGGTTCGAGATCTAAGATTTTCTGATCGCGAAAGTCGCGATATTCCGCACCACTTAGGGTCCCATTCCTATAACACGTGTCAGACAACATGAAGCTTATTAGCAACAAACAAATCGACGTTTCATAGAATTCACGTCGGGTAGATTTGTCTGTGTAGCCCCTCCGGCCGCTCCTTTAGCTCCTTGATCCTGCTTTCAGCTTCCCTCTTCGCATGCGTTGCTTCGGCCAGGTTTCTGTTGATATCCGCCGACCTTTCTGGTAGGTCGCAGACAGAACAATGGTGTCCATACCTTTCACAGTGAAAACATTTCACGTTGAACTTGTGACAAATATGGTGCTGGAATTCTATTTCGAAGCAACAGGAGCATCTATGTTCTCCATTCAGTATCGATCCGCGCACCGAGCTTTCCTTCTAAATCTCGCAAGAATCGCTATAGCGTCCTCCGATTCTTCGGCAAAAAAACACAGCAAATCGTTCTTTTGTCCCAGCGTCTTATGATTCCTCGACTGAAGATCCTGGGTTCACATTTGGGTTCCCTTTTGAGTTCAGCGAAGAGGCTGTCAAGTTCCTCAATTTCGGCGTAAGCGTCGAAGATTTCTCTATCTATTTGGCGTCTGCGCTGCCACATCACAGCCTCGTATTCTTCTCCATCGTCCACTGTGACATTTTCCATGAATTTAGCATTCCGCTTTATAATCTCCGCTCCCTCAGGGGGGTCCGGCTCTGACTGAAGCGCCTCAGTGCCCTCCCCCTCGCCGTCGCTATCGTTTGCAGCGACGTCTATAGCGTCTTCCGAGGCTGCCGGTGGAGACAGTTTCTGGAAGGCGTCGGTAGCTGTGTTGCACACGTGGTCCATGCGCGAACCGATGGCTCTTGAAGTTTTTCGTCGTCTCGTTTTGAACAATGGTCTTTAATTCCTCGAGACAGTTCTGATCATTGCCCGGAAGGATGCTTTAGAATCCAATCTCCACTGATTCTCTGACTTCTGTCAAGGCTGATAGCACGGTTTCTTCCTGGTGAATTTCCTCGCATTTGAATTCATGTCTCAGCTCAGCCAACGTGGATCGCCACTCTTCAAGGATGACCAGCTGGTCTGAGATGACATGCTCCAGCTGGTGCTAATTCAAAACAAGCGGTTTTCCTCTGTCGTCTCGTTGTGACTTGTTGATCAGGGTGTCCAGTCGTCTTCAGATATCATTCGCAAGGCGATTATCAATGGCACAACGGCAAATAGCGCGCGGAGCTCTGTGCATAAAAGCGCGAACTCAGCCCATGTCTTTTCTCTCATGGTTTCTAGCAATTTCAACTGCTCTTAGCGTTCTTTCGAGTCTTTTTTGAATTTTCTCAGATTCTGAATACGACAAAATAGGTCACTCATAAAGCGAGTTGCTAAACGAGGTTGCATGCTTCTGTGTCCGATCTTGCTGTGCAGCCTATATGGGTCGGGAAGCGGTGGGTTAGCCTCCTTGACTCGGCGTAAACATTGGACTTCCTCGTACAACTTCATGATCCGAAGGAGTAATGTTGGCTTAAACTGAATGCGCTTTGCTTGCTGTATATTTTTTGTTTAGTAATTAACTTTTCTACATCATGAAGATTTCGAGGCGTTTTTGAATGTTATTTTATAAGCGTGAACATCAAAATGAGTTTAGAACGTGTTGCTTTCTCTCGATACTTTTTCGGAGACCAAAATAAGGTGCTTGGTCATAAGCTCGATTTTGCTTTCACGAGCTTTGTGTATCGCGGAAGACGGTTAAGGATGGCCAGACTATAACACCTCGGTGGAAAACCTTGAGTTATTGTAAGCGTCCACCGCTTGGGTCTGAATACGAATGTCGAGGGAAACCTGTGCTTGATATTGTTGAGTGAGCTCTCACCAGTTTGCGAGGTCTCTGTTCTAAATGAGTTGTCATGACTACTTGGCTTCAAAAAGACGTTATAACCATACTTTGTTATGAACGATGGTGATCCAGATGAGTACCTTTGCGATACGATAAAGGGTGAATGAGCGTAAACTTTCTGGGATTTGTGCACAGTTTGCGTAATAACTCGTACCATTTTGGCGCAAATCGTAGCATCCGTATGTGGATTCCCATTCGACCTTTGAAAAAACGAGAGTAGCATGATGTAGAAAAGGAACCACTTTCTAGACCCGCGTTTTTTGTGTGAGGTTAGCCGTTTTACATGATGAGTGCAGCGTAATTGCGCGCGTGATCGTAGGTTGTAAGATCCCTGTGTCGTAGGTTGGTCTTGGAATGTAAAGTCTGGACAGGCCCCGTCTTCACTCGATGTTGCTTCTTTTTTGTCTTTGAGCTCCAGCGGCACGATGAAATTAATAGGCCGTTTCATAGACCGTGGCGTTTCCGTAACCAATTCCACTTCCCGGATTTGACCGTCGGTCCCGCGAAGGTTTATGTTATCCGCGCAAGCTTCCAGTCATTTCTAGGGAGATTAGGGTCACTCACGAGAACAATCTTTCCAACTTTTGGGATTCCATCGTGATGAGGTTTGGAGGAAATATGTTGTTTGTGGATCTATTATAGGCTAGGTAAGTAGTTCTTCTGCCACTTATGCCACACAATCCAAAATTGGTCCGTGATCCGGCAGGACGAGGCTAATGCTTTCTTCGCTTCAACTCCCGTTGCCAGAGCACGACTTTCCGCTGGTGGAAGGTAATCTGGATCTGTCGTTTGACTTGGAATTTCGTAAGGAAATGTTAGCACAATGCCTTTCCGAAGGAAATCAATAGGGCGATTGGAGTCCAGATGGTCCTGATCCGAACCTTGATAGGTCAGCGGCCTGGAGTTCGAGCAGGCCTCGATTCCCGTCAAAGTTGTCCTGAGGTCGTCTCCTGACAAAAGGGGCTTTCCCTCATGCGATTTGTAAAGTGCGTGTTATATGGACTTTATCAGGCGTTCATAAAATCCCCCTTGCAAAGGTGCGTAGGGCGCAATGGACCTGCGATGAGTTAACCGAGGGGGATGGAATTTCTGCAGCAAGAAGGAAAATAGGCACATTGTCACTTGTGATGGTAGATGGTACCCCCTGCGACTCCGCAGAGCGTTCAGGAAATTTCCGATCGACGTACTTCGGACCAGCTCTAGGTGTATCAATCGCGTCACCGTGCACGTAAATACACCCTTGGGTCTTGCACTCCTCATTTCCCTTACCAACAGGGAACTCGAAAAAATAAAAATCAAGTTCAATCTGTTGAAATACGTGACTGCGTACTACGCGGCGACTTGGCAAATCCTTTGTTTCTGGGTAAGCGTATGGTAGCCCATCGAATCTGCGACATTCCATGCAGTGTTTTACTAGGTGGCGTACTTGTTGCCTCAGTTTTGGTATCCAATACTGCGAGGGTATTGTCGCCATGGTGTGTTTGATTTCTTGGTGGTAGGTCCCATGTGCTTGCTTAACAATAAGAGTGGCCAACGGAGTTTTGGGAAATACAAAAATAGGACTTCTGGCGTCTGCGTTCAGAATGGCTGCTTTCATAGTCCACGACCACTCGCGCGACCGGTCGCGGACCCATCTCGCGAGCGACTGGTCGTTCGACTGATCGCGCCATCTGCTCGGAACCGTCCACGGCGGCACCCATAACTAGCGCGGCCTCCTCGACCGATCGAGCGACCGGTGAGGCGACCAGTCGCGCGACCGGTCGCCAGTCGCTCGCGGGATGGGTCCGCGACTGGTCGCTCGCAAAATCGTAGACTATGAAAGATGCCAATGGCGTTTCCAATACGTGCTTTTGACCGCCAGAGGTGGTCCTCGTCTTTAAAAAGGCACCATTGGACTCGACATGGTTAATTTTCGTGATTGATTCTTTGATTGATTGATTTTTATCGAGACAAAAACAAAGAATAAAAAACCGGATTTGAAGAGAAAAATCCATTCAAAGTATCGAAGAGAAAAGAAGCGTGTTTCTTCTTGGCGTGGATTTTGCGTGAACTTTCAAAACGAGGCTCAGAAGTTCTAAACGTTCAAATGAAATTTCCGTACCTCTTCACTGGCTTCCTGCTCCTTTTGACGGATGTACCATAAAAGGAAATATGTCCCGAATATGAATATTTTATATTTTCTGTCCAGTATATGATGGTCTACGGATCTCCTTTCACTGAGGGTTCTCTCTCACTGAAGGATCCCCAGCCGGTTAGTGACGAGGCTACGTAGGGCGTCCCCAGGTGGCGGATAGGGGAATTAATCGCCGACCAAAAGTCACCGGTACTTGCCCAGAGACGCAGGTGGATTCAGGGGATGGACTCCTTGATTCTGCTGTGCTGGGTCGATATACCCTCTGTTCCTCGCTGGCGATCCACGCATACGTGTGTGGAGAGTCTGTGGGTGCAGTTGGTATCCTGCCCATCGACTCGGCCAAAAGCTTGCATTCGAGTGACGATCAAGTCACACTGGGAAGTATCTGGGAGGCGATTCGGGGCCGCCTCCAAAAACAAAGCCCCTTGTCCACTTCGGGATAGCCTGGCAAGCCCCCGGAGTCAATAGCCCCCACGTCAGAGCCTGGCAAGCTGCACGTTGGGTATCTTCACGCCAAAAACAGTAATAGAAATGGGCCT